TTTAACCGGAGATTAAGGGTGAGATTGGAGATTCGAGTAAGGGATGAAGAGGGATAGGACAAAGCGTTGAGGTGGTAAGGATTCGAATTACTTTATCCCTGAGTCCCTAGGGACTTTATTTGGGGGAGGGGGGGGGAGGGTGGCTTTCTATCTCAGCACGATGGTATATAAGGGATGACGTATCTCCGGTAGCAGGGGTGCCAACTAATGCGTCCCTGGGTGGCAAGTGTTTGGCGGAGGATATTTTCGCAAGAGGCGGGGTAGAAAGTGAAATCCAAGAGGGTTCGAAAGGTGAGGAGACGCGACGGGGGTGGGTTGACCGGTGGGGCCCCAAGGGTGGCCGCGCCATGCAAGACGATCCCGTAGCGAGATGACGCCTTCCTGGCGCCACGACCCCGGGGAGAAGGAAAACCCACCCTGCTGCTCGGGGGCTCATAAAAATCTATTCACACCGGAAAAAATCAGTGAAGAGGTAAGGGCGCCATCCCCTAAAATCCACTGGGTATCGTGTCACGAGATGATTTTTACAGCCTTCGAAGAGCCCCGGCAATATCCACTCTCCCGTCTCTCGTCTGCGTGATTCGTTAAATTCATCTCGAGCCTCCGCAGCATCCGGACTGAATCGGGAGATGAAATGATTGAAATGAGATGATTGTAATCGAGATGAAATACCGTCAAACTCATGTAAAACAAGATTCTTTATTTTTTTAATTACCAAAAGATACCATCCTACGGAATTGAAGCTGGACCGTGCTAAGGATGCTGCGAGGTCGGCACCGTATCTCCCGACAAGGTATACACATATATACAAGGTACCCCCGAGTAAAAGGGAACGGTTAATTTGTTGCGCATCAGCAGCACCGGCAGCCAGCGCGGACGTACGGGCAAAGCCAAACGAAAATAACTAGAGATAATTACGCGCATAAATCAGAGCGTTAATATTCGGGGGGGCGTTGGAGGCTGCTTGGCTAGATAGGTTGTACGGTAAATATACAGAGAGGCAAACGAGGGCGAGAGGGATTGGTCCGGGTGTATAAATGAAAGAATAGAAAAATAATGATAACAACAACGGCAGCAGCAGCAAGGTGGATCGGTAGATCATTCGTAGCCGGTGGTTAGACGCCCCCTTGTTAGCCAGGTTTACTTAGTACCAGAGACGCTCCTATGATGAGCGTTACGCCCGCTAATAGCCCACAGTTAACGAACTACCGTACGAAGTGAGCGCGGAGAAGAATATAAGCCAGATACGAAGTGTTATCGATCACCCGCTGTGACGTTGTCGAAGGATTCAATAATTGAAAGAAAAAAAGAAAAAAAAAAAAAAAAAAAAAAAAAAAATTTCATCAACATAAATTAACGTCACTCTTAATGCACCTTATCACGAGGATCCAGATGAATCGTCCGAGTATCGAAATGTCGCACGAGCCATCCTTATGTAAATTGAAATCCCCGCGGAGGTCGGGGATTCGACTGGCCCTGGAAGAGGATCAGCCGGTAGGCAAGAGGGGATGAACGGGTGGAGCGTAAGTCCCCGTAGATGGTGATCGTCGAGGTGGGCGGTCCCACACTCCTTAAATCAGCCCGCAGCAGCAGGCCCATGATATTAACTCGGTCCACGTGTTTATTTGTTTGCTTAGAGCGAGTAATTAGAATCCGATACAAATGGTTATTATTTATCGGAAGGAACCTCCTCTCCCCCGTCGCTGATTGCCTGGCGTTATTAAAGCTGCCGATACGTCCAGATAAATGAATCGAACTGGCCCCCGGTAAGCTGTTACAATATATATATATATATATACGTATGTATAAATGTACGTACATACCGAATGCATATTACCATTAAACATACCGATACGTTGTGTACAACGCTTAACGATGCGTCGAACGATTCGATCGTACGGAATCGTAACCCGTTACCTCGTACGATGTATATTATAACCCTAATCCATATTCTATCTAGCAATTAATTTTTTGACCCATTTTTTTTTATTTTTCATATCTCGAAAAATCCACACCTCCCAAATCTACGATCGAGTAAGGCGAAATTGGTCCCCCCCCCTAAAACTGCCGGAAGTTCGACCTACCATTTAGCGCCTGTAGGATATAACCCGCTATCCAAAGGATTTCTGAAACCGAAGTCGAACTGCGGCCGGTTTACATCGCGATGCCAGGCGCGTACCTTAATAAAGTATAATGGGCGCATCGCGTCAGCCACTGCTGTCAAGTTACACCTGATCGTCTAGTGAATAATACAATGGCCCCGTGTACCGCGTGGCTCCCAAGCATGCATCACGTATGCCACGTATGTGTAATCTGTACCTATGCGCGCATAATACGGGCTCGTAAAGCATACGTGGTCTGTAGGAAGCTCGGTAGGTACGTTGACGTGGGGAGGAGGGAGGAAGGGGGGGGCGATACAAGCGCAGCACGTTTTCATAAAGCCGCGTAAGAGAATAGAACGTGTATAATTAGTGAGTGAGATCATTATGAACAGATAATTTTTTTTTAATTTTATAAACGTCAAAATTTTTTTTTTTTTTTTTTTTAAATATTTTATGCCGCTGACACTGACGAGCGAGTCTCGCTGTCAAATAATTGGGATTGTTCTGAGAGTCTGATTTATTTATTCGCACGTGAGTACCTGG